ACATGTTTTTTTGGTTTTTTTAAGATTTTATTTGCTCGCTCTCTAAAAAATAAATAAAATCTTTAAAAAAAAAAAAAAAAAAGAGCTTCTCCAGAAGCTGCTGACCCCCTGGTTCTTTCTTTTTCTTTTCTTTTTTTTTTTTAAGAGAGGAAGAGAAGTAGGGGAGGGGCAGAGAGAGAGGGAGAGAGAAAATCATAAGTAGGCTCCATTCCCAGGTCAGAGCCCGATGTGGGGCTTGAGCTCACAACCCTGAGATCATGACCTGAACCGAAACCAAGAATCAGATGCTTAGGGGCACCTGGGTAGCTCCGTTCGTCAAGTGTCTGACTCTTGCTTTTGGCTCAGGTCATGATCTCAGGGCGTGGGATCGAGCCCCAAGTCAGGCTCTGTGCTCGGCGGGGAATCTGCTTGAGGATTCTTTCCCTCTGCCTGTCCCCTTGCATGCACATGTGTGCATGCGCTCTCTCTCTATCTCAAATGAATAAATAAATCTTAAAAAAAAAAGACACTTAACCGACTTTCCCAGTTGTTTTTTGAGACCACTGAATCTCCAACTCTTAGGTTCCACTCTGATGGGGTCAGTTCCCTATTCTTTGGTGGACAAAGCAACAAAAAAAGCAAAGCTGGAGGGAGGCAAGGACAGGGCAGATTCTTGCCGAGCCTTGAGGATCAAGAAACAAAGAGTGGTCCATCTCTGAAGCCAGGGCATTTACCCTCAAGGAGAAGGCACTGTTGTTCTCCATTTGTAGCCTCCTGGGCTCATAAGCACTCAGCCCTTCATGTTACAGATGAAGAAACTGAGGCCCAGAGGGGGGAGGAGCAGAGGGCCTTGTGCACAAGGTCACACAGCCGGTTGGTAGCAGAGCCTCCAAGGCAGCCTGGGTTCTGTGTGCTTTGCTTTACACCCTCCCACTAGGAAATGTGAGCTGTGGACTGTGGCCCACAGGGTGGTGATGACAAGGCTGCAGCATTCCTGCCTCTCAGGCAAGGAGCATGAGACGGGGTAACTGCCTAGTTAGGGCCACAGTCAGACGGGGACATGAAAGGAGGGAAAGTGCATCTTTTGGTATCTCCTTACCATTTTTCTGCTCCTCATATTCCAGCCCTCGGCAAAAAGACCCCCAAACCCATGCACTCAGACTCAGAGCTCGGGGGTGCAAATGGGTTCCTCTCCTGGGGCCGCTCACAGGCTGGTGCTCAACATTGAGACATGGATCCCCACTGTTGGAATGTCACTCATTGTAGCCCTTAAGTGGGGAAAATACTCCAGGTTTATTGATAAGGACATTCCTGAAGTCTTAAAATCATCGCTTCTAAACTCCAGCACTCATATTCCATCTGCAGTTTGTACTGTACCTTGTCTTCTGTTTGTATATATATTTAGTATTTGTCTTTATATCCTTTACCTTTTTAACTTAGTTTTTGTTATTTTATTATATGTATTATTTATAACATATATACTGTTATCATGTTCAGTGATATCCTATCATATATTAAAAGGAAACTTGATATCATGACTATATATGGAAAACCAGATTCACTTACCATAAATAGAAGGTAACTATAAAAAGAAATATAATGACACCAAGACAGTTTTAAATTCTAGCTGGATTCCACTGCCTGCGGAAGGCTTTGAGCCTGAGGCCTGCTCTTTGTTGAAAAGGAAGAATCAGAAGTGTGAGGGAGGTGTTGAAGATGTTACTACTACCATCCTGGTGCTTAGAGGTCATCCTGAGTAAACAAGGACCCAACATGAATCACCTCTCACTAGTCACTGTTCTTTGATGAAATCAGCTGGGGCACAAGAATCCTTGGTCCTGACTGTAGAAGATGTTCCTTTTTTTTTTTTAAAGATTTTATTTATTTATTTGAGAGAGAGAGAATGAGAGAGAACACATGAGAGGGGATAGGGTCGGAGGGCAAAGCAGACTCCCCGCCGAGCAGGGAGCCCGATGCGGGACTCGATCCAGGGACTCCAGGATCACGACCTGAGCCGAAGGCAGTCGCTTAACCAACTGAGCCACCCAGGCGCCCGAAGATGTTCCTTTTTAAGGTATCACTCAGGCAACCGCCCTCACAAGGTGGGTCCTGGGTGTGGTTTAAGGGTAGTGAATAACTGCAGCAGACTTGGTCCTCACCCTGGGGTGAAGCTTGGGAAAGGAGAGCAAAGAGGGAGTGGATAGAACATAGACCATGTGCAAACCCTGAGTGCGGTGACACATCAGAGCAGGTGTCAGGGGAGACAGGCTTAGCAGGAGCCCATGCGTCACTCCTGTCCACAAAGCCCAGGTGGGAAGCGTTCTCATTTTTTACTAGTTTGGGGGAATCACTCAATTTTCCCTTTGCTCATCTGTAAAATGGAGTTATAGATTCTGGATATCCTATGAGGGTACTGTAAGGACTGAATTGAAAAATGAATAAAAATGTACCTTGTTGGGGCGCCTGGGTGGCTCAGTCAGTTAAGCGTCTGCCTTCAGCTCAGGTCATGATCTCAGGGTCCTGGGATCGAGCCCCACTTCATCGGGCTCCCTGCTCAGCAGGGAGTCTGCTTCTCCCTTTCCCTCTGCGCCACCCGCCCCTGCTAGTGCTCACTCTCTCTCTCTCTCTCTTAAATAAATAAAAAACATATACCTTCTGTAGTATTGGGTATGATTGTCCTGAGTCTGCCTGCTCCTCCCCCCCTTTTTTTTTGCATTTTTTTTCTTAAGTAAACTCTAACCCCAAGGTGGGGCTCAAATTCATGACCCCAAGATCAAGAGTCACATGCTCTGCTGACTGAGCCCGCCAGGCACCCGGGCCTCACTCCTCCTTGGTCCAGCTTCTGCAGAAAAACCTGTTGCCTCTGCTACAGCCATGCCTCAAAGAAGTGGAAAATAAGCAGGCAGGAGGTTTGAAATGGCTTTTTCAATGTCCCTGTCCCCCCCTCCAGGTACCAGGATCATCTATGACCGGAAGTTCTTGATGGAATGTCGGAACTCACCTGTGACCAAAACACCTCCACGGGACCTGCCCACCATTCCCGGAGTCACCAGCCCCACCAGTGAGGAGCCCCCCACAGAGCCCAGCCAGAACCACCTGCGCAACAGCCCAGAAGATAAGCCGGCTGGTGGTGAGTAACAGGGCTTGGCCAGGCTCTTCCTCAGGAAAGGAACATATGCAGCCGGTGGAGCCCCTTCAAAGAGGAAATTTGAGCGAGGGGAATGATGGTCACTGCCCCCCTTCTGTGGAGCAGCTCAGAGATCAGACACATGGGGCTGGGGGGGGTAGGTAGAACTTTCAACGGTACCAACTTTCCCCATGAAAGGAGTCCAAGAACTCCAGGAGAGGTGATTTGGCCCCATCAGGTAATGTAATTCATGGGGAGCTTGTTTGAAATGAGGAGGACTCCACACAGCAACTTTCATAAGCATGACCCTTGGTATTATTGTCCCTGAAGCATTTCCTCGTGTCTGCCACACTTGGGACACACCCATGATGTGCATGTGCAGGACATGACTTATCAAAGATACGGTAAACTTGCCCTCTAGGGAATTACAGGTCTACAGGATGAGAAAGGCATCCAGGATATTGACCCACTAGTGGATCCACTAGTGGATTCTTGATGAAGACAAACAATGCAACCAGGTGTTTCTGCAGGTTTGACATGGGGCGGCTGGGTCCTTCCTGGTATCTCACCCCACTTTTCCCCTAAATCAGAGCGATCACCCCAGTGGAGGTTGTGGGTGTGAATGCACTCTGTGTGGCATCATGACTAGCTCGCCAGAGCATCTCAGCTCTCTTGCTGTGGGAGGATGAAGTGTAAGCACTTGCAGACAACCTGAGTCAGATTGGAACCCGCTGACCCTTCACCCGGAAGGCAGTGGACCAAGGCCAGAGAGGAAGCAGCTGGGACCTCAGGCTGGGCTGGCCCTGCTGACAGCAACAGAGTCTATCTACCCAGGGTCTGTAGGACATAATTCATAATTACCCTGGGAACCCCACAGCCCCTGACCGGCAGCCCTTGCCTTGCACTGCAGACTTGGAGAACAGTGGGAAGGAGGGCGGCGGGGAGGTGTACTTGCGCACACATGGAGCAGTGTGAAGGACAGCTCCAGGCAGTGTGGTCACCTGCCTTTCGTTAAAGGATGCAGAGAAGGATGGATAGATTCATGTGGTCAGTTCCATGGTGCTTCCCACCCACCTCTTTGCCTCAAACCAAAGACTAGAAGTCGAGGATGGAGGTAGTCACACCTGACATTGTGGAACCATCATTACCTGACGGCTGTGCCAAAGTCCTCCCAGTTTCTGGAGCTGTGCTCACCCATAGCAAATGCAGGGTTGACCCAGAGATGCCCAGGCTGACCAACCCTGAACCCACAATAATGGCCTAAGAGTTCCATTGTGATGGTGAGGGATGGACATAATTTTTCATTTTGCTTAATAGGATATTAGCCAAAGTTCCTACCCTTGGACCATGTATTTGTGTAAATATAACCAGAAGATGTGGTCATTTTCCCCGTGGGGGCCGGGGTGGGCATCTTGGGATATAGAACCTCAAAGCAGCCTTACCCAGGAGATCATGAATGAGGCAGCTCCATTAAAGAAAACAACCTCCTGCAGCATGAGTTGCTTGGAGGTTTTTGTGGAAAGAGAGAGGGTGAGGGCAGTGAGTAGCTGAATTACCAAAATAACTCCTTTACTACAGAGTCAGGCTATTCTGTGGGCAGTTGGACATACGCCTAGTAGGTTGTATTACCATCTTCTAAACCAAGGTAGGACATATGCTCAAAAAAGGTTTATGTTTAAGGAACATTCTTCTGTGAGGTTGTATTTATATCAAAGCCAAATAACCATTCACTCTTGTTAAAAACAATAAAAATTATAAAAAATTCAAGACTGTCACTTCTCCTGTGGGGAGACCTGGTCTCTGCTCTTCCTTTAGGATTGGGGAAGAGAGCACAGCTGGACCTCAGGCCTGTTTCCAGGACTTCCTAGTGGAGTCCTGCCCTCCCTCCATTCTCCTTGGCCCCTACTCTTGTAGGAACAACAAAATGAAAATTAACGTCTCTCCCTGGCCTCTAAAATGTGAGCCCTACCATTCACCGGTTGCTTACCTGGCCGTCTGTCCTTTCTCTCCCCAGGTGAAGAGTCACAGTTTGAGATGGACATTTAAAGGACCAGCCATTGAATCGAGCAGTGCCTCTGGGCCCCCCTGGCCCTTCTCGGGAGAAGAGTCACACCAGTCAGGCCTTTTGCGAGTCATAATCCTGGGCAGGCATTGAGCCATGGGGTCAGCCATCCTGGCCCTCCGCTCCCTCACTCAGGGCACCTTCTCCCCCTTCCTCTTCGTGAACACCAGCGGATACCTCCATGTGCCTCCATTCATGCAGAAGCTGCCACCCTAACAGGAGTGACTCTCATGAGCACACCCTGCAACCCAGGGCCAGGATTGGACGTGGTGGAGCCCTTTTGAGTGATTATCCAGCTCTTCCAGCCCCATCCTCTGGGGGCGCACCCACCCCTTCCTTAGTGCGTGGTGTGCGTGGGAAAACTTCCCTCCCCCTCCTTCCCCAAGAGAGGAAATAAAAGCCACCTTTGCCCTAGGGCCAAAAGTTGGCCCCTGTCTGAGCTCTTTTCAACTCCATATGGATAACTAACACCAACTACTATTTGTACTTCTAAATACTTTCCTATATGTTATCTCATTTGATTCTCACACTGAACCTAGAAGGTAAGTAGACTGTTATCCTCATTGTACAGGTCAGAAGACTGGCTCAGAGAAGTAAAACGCATACCAGTAAATGAGAGATGGGACTGGCTTTGAGCTGTGCTGCTCTCTTAGCTCCTGTTATTCAGTGGTGGGTGCAATTTCTATTCTGGGCTTTGTCCCCCAAGCCTGTCAAGTGACCCCGTTCCCTTCGTTATGGGGCCCATTCCCTGCAAGAGTTCAAGGGAAGAACCTGAGCCTTGGATGATATAGTGTGTCTTTGACCTATGCATCCCTCATATTTGTCCATTGATCCCTCTGTGTGAGCTCCCCGGGGGGACACAAACATGAGACAAGTGCTCTGCCTTGAGGATTTCACTGAAGCCTAAGATTTGCCCAGAAGGAAAGGTAGTATAAAAGATTGTATAGGATCCGTTACCAGAGAATGGTCCATGCAAGTAGAGGCTTCATGGAGGTGATGCTGCAGCTGGGGTGCTGCGAAGGAGTGGGCTGAGGAGAGGCAGGGGCCCAGTATTGCCAAGATCAAGTGGTCTTGGAGAACCAGGGCATTCAAGCACAAGATGTCAAATTGCCCACTTTAGCCAGAGCCGGCAATTTGTGTGGGTGGGGACGGCTTTTATAGATGGCCATAGAAGGGCCAGATTTCTAAGGGCCTTGAATGGCGGCCAGAGGGCTTGCTGAGAAGTAGCAGGTGTTTCTCATTACAGATACGTGGGGGTGAATGGCCTTTGGCCAAGAGGCAATGGCTGACCTGGACCTTACAGTTCTGGACTCCTAGTACTTGTCAAATTGCCATTTGGGGAGCAGCAGGCCTTAGTGGCCAAGTCCTTTGCCTGGCCTTTCCTACAGCTGAGTTGGAGTCCCCTCCCCTCACAGGGACTATGGAGGCAGCTGGAATCTGTGTGCCTGGGGAGGGCATATGGAAGGGCCCAGCCCTAGTGGCATGCAGGCTTCAGGCACACAGCATACCCTTTGCATGTAGATAGAAAGCGAGACTGAGGGGCCACCGCCAGAGCAAAGACAGCTAAAGCTCCAACTAGGATCAGGATAGAGACCAACCAGCCTTCCCAGTCCCTTAGCTTTCCAGTAAAAGCATCCAACCTGAGGTCTTGCTCACAAGTCTGCATGATATGTCCATTCCCCTTGGTCCTACATCTTACAGTCCAAGAGAGGGTAAAAAATAGGCTTCTCTGACAATAAGAAAATCATTTACAAGTTGTATACCTTTCCCAGTGAACACAAGTATCCTCCAGAAAACCCAGGTGTTTTTAAAGATTTAGAGCGAGCTGGGGTGGGGGGGCGTGCAGAGGGAGAGGGAGAATCCTCAGACTCCCCGCTGAGCACAGAGTCTGATGGGAAGTGGGGTGGGGCTTGATTCCAGGACCCTGAGATCATGACCTGAGCCGAAATCCAGAACCAGTTGCTTAACTGACTGAGACACCCAGGCACCTCTCTTGAGCATCATTTTAGCTGGGTGCTATGAAATGGTGAAGATCTATGACAGAGAGAAGGCTCCCGTGCCCCAATTTAACATCCCAGTGTACTGAGTCTTAAAGCTTTTGTGGGATGCCCTAGGAAACCATCAGAGTTTGGCTTGGGAACCTAGGGACAACTGGGGGGGGGAACACTGCCACATGCTGTGAGCCAGGGAATACAAAGAAGTGTCTTAAGCCGTGGTGTGTGTGCCCTAGGTATTACAACCTGGTCTGGAGATGCGAGGTACTGCGGATAGTAGAAGGACACCTAGAAATGTCATAAAGCGATACTTCTGTGGTTGTCCAGTGGGTGGTAACTGTGCAGATGCCATAGGTTAAGGGAATCTGAGAAACCTTCAGAGAGGAGGAGGGACTTTATAGGACCCTATGTAGGACTTGAATTTAGGAAAGGCCTTCCTGGGTCAGGAACAGCAGATGTGCAAGGACCAAGAGCAGTGTAGCTGCAGAAATGTTAAAGCCGTTGGGTTTTCCGCGTGTGGATGAAGAGGCTGAACCAGGACAGTGGAGTCTGCAATACTCTCTCCTGGGAAAGGAGGCTTGATGGCACTTGGTGGAAGGAGGAGAGACGTGTCCTGGAGGTTTCTGGTCTGGGTAGCCCAGAAGAGAGGTTGGACGGGAATGCGGGGTTAGCAGTTGCACCGAGTAAACAGCGAGAAGCCAGAACCAGAACCTTGGGGAATGTTCCCAGGGAGCACGAATGCAGTAGGGACTTGAACCGCCAGTGATTTTCCAACCTCCTTGCTGCTTTTGGCACAGCTTGGGCATCCCTCCGACTCCCAGGAAGCCAGACAAGGTCATCTTTCTACCTTTCGTGAGACATTCACCATGGACGTGACTCAAGGAAGGGCCCAAGGACACAGCCAAGCAAGGAATCCGTTGGTCTGAAAACCAGTACCTCTGGAGGGGCAGGGTTCATGCATAGACCCACAAGTGGTCTTTTCCAGCTAAATCCAACCTCAGTCTGATTTAACAAGGCTTTGCTAAGCCTCTTATCCATACCCAGCAGGGTGCTAGACCTTGAGGCAATACAGAATGTCAAGCCCACCACCTGAGGACAAAATCCGAGGAGGCACGATGAAGTGCTTGTAAGTGGAGTGAAGCTGGCCCGGAGCAGTTGAAGACTGTGAAGGCAGGTTGGGCTGTGGGGGAAACTGCGGGAGCAAAGGCTGGGTGTCTGGAATGGATACAGTGTGTGTAGGAGTATCATGTGAGGCTCCAGCGTGTTCTGTAGTGCAAGGTAAATTTAGATAGCCTAAGATTAGATTATTGGGGAAAAAAAGCCATTGGTTGAATGCCTTTTATATGCCTGGAGCTTTACTACAATCTTATTCATGGCCCAAAAACATACGGTAGATTTTTTTTTTTTTTTAAGGTAGATGTTTTCATTCCCATTTTACTTACGTCCGTGATGGCTGTGTGTCAGAATTAGGATTCCAGCTTCTATCTGTCCAGCTCCAAAGCCCATGCACGCTCTTTATACCACACTGGTTGGAACTGAGGTCTGGGTTCTGTAGATTCCCAGCCCTAGACAACTAGGATGTCAGTTAGAGGTATTAGAATAAGGCAGTGCCAGACTGGTGTTAAGGTGAATCAGGTGAAGGTAACTAGAGCCAGGCAGTTCTTCGGATGTTCAGCGGATTGTTCAGAATTAGGGGATGGGGATGAGGGTGAAAACCAAGGAATGTTCAGGATGGAGGACCACCCTCCCCTAGGCGTGCAGGGTGGGGGGATGGGTCGTGTAGGGGTGGGTATCTTTATGATGATCACCTGTGGCCAACAAAGAACCACACCCTAAAAAGGAAGTAAGCCATTGAAGGTGTTATCAATAGAGATGTTAAGGATTTAAGTTCCCTGGTTAGCTTTCTATAAAAGACCAACCCTGGGGCGCCTTCGGTTACCTGTCTGCCTTTGGCTCGGGTCTTGACAGGTTCCTGGGATCTAGCCCCGCGTTGGGCTCCCTGCTCAGCACGGGAGCCTGCCTCTCCCTCTCCCACTCCCCCTGATTGTGCACCCTCTGTCTCTCTCTCTCTCCCCTCTCTGTCATATAAATAAAATCTTTAAAAATCAGAGCAGTGGGCACAACAAAGCTCTACTTCCCAGGTGCTGATCTCGCGGAGGTAACATACGTTTAGGGATTGAGGCTGCGCGGGATTCTTGTCTTGTATATTCAGCTTTCATTGCTGAAATCACAAACTTGGCCTCCTCAAAATAAGGTTCAGAACTTAGCCAACCCTCCCTGCCCTCCTAAGCAGAGGACACGTGCCCCTTGCTGTGGGACCATGAATCCCTCAAGGAAGAGCCAGCTCCCCAGTGACAGGCAGTAGACACCTCCGTTTCTGGAAATAACTAGAACAAAGCCTCCCTCCTCATCTGCAGCAGGTTAAATCAACATGAGAAGGTGAGGAAATGGCAGATTAATTGGGGGAAAGTATAACCCTTGAAGATTAGGTTTTCTTGAATGTACACATTCCAAAGAATATGACTTGGCAAGTATTCTGTAGGGAGAGAGGGGACCCCACAGCCAGACTGGAAGTGAACCCCTCCTTCCCCAAGCTGTTCAGAGGCCATAGCCCAGGGCGCTGGTTTTTGAAGGAAGACCTTTGAGCGGTCATTTGTTCCGTATTCTCAGGTTCTCTATAGGAAAGGTTTTTGAGTTTTCAGCTGCAATACTCCAGTTGGTGCTGCCTCCTGCTGGAAGAGTTCATTAAGACAAGGAAGGAAGCCTACATCTTCGTTATTCTGTTCCATTCAGTTAGGCCACAGGTATTGTAGACCTAAGCACACTTCTTCACATTATCTCAAGATTATGCCACTGGCCCCTCATTCTCTGAGAAGACTACTGAGGGACAGGTTTTCCAGACAGTGTGACCAGAGGTGTATCGGGGGTTAGAACCAGGGGTAGCATAGAACACTATGCACTGCTCAGACCTCATTTGGGACAAGCTAGTGACAACCCTCCCCCCCGCATCCCGCCAGCCAAACACAGCCATGCATATGCCACCGTACTGCCTTCGGACCTCACTCACCAACTATAGCCAGGTGGCTCTATCCACCTAGGAACAAAGTTTCCTCTTGCATGGCTTCTCAACTTAAACGTTCACCATTAGGTTGCCTGTAAACTTCTTCTGAGTCACTCCACCCCAACATGGGAGAAACAAGACTGCCTTCCAAAAGGACAGGACTCTGAACTGTTAAAAACGTTTTCCTTAGGCTCTATCAGGATAGGGTCAGATGTGCACTGGAATCATGGATATAAATGTCGTTGTCACTCAGGTCATCCCCCAACTCCTGGGACAGTTTCAGCTCCTGAGCCCTTCAAGAACCACCAAGAAGCCCATCCAGAGCTGTGTTTCCTGGCTTCTGAGCTGAGCCTCTTAACTCAGACAAGGGACATTTACAACATACTAGAAAGCGCTGATGTTCTACATAGCGGCATTGAACTCAAACACTCCTTAAGCCTGCTGAACAGGCTTACAGGCTTACTCAATTCACTGACAAATTATGCTAGTGGTACTGACTTGGGGGAAAAGTAGCACAATTTCCTCTCTCCTTTCCTTCATAGATGGCATCTAAACCAGATCAGCTTTTTGCAGCACAAGGGGCCCAGAGGCAAAAGAGAATTTTTATGTAGGCACCTTGTAGTGTGTGTGCGCTTTGGTTCATTAACTCCCCCTATTTAACCCTGAGTTTGGGAGATCTCAAACCACAAAAGAAGAAGATGGCAACACCATTCTTTCTTTCTTTCTTTCTTTCTTTTTCTTTTTTTTCTTTCTTTCTTTCTTTCTTTCTTTCCTTTTCTTTCTTTCTTTCTTTCTTTCTTTCTTTCTTTCTTTCTTTCTTTCCTTTCTTTTGCTATAGTCAAGATATAATTGGAAATGCCACTCAGTCATCAGTGGATAGTTCCTCCATTGACAGGATTTGGCACCTCCAACCAGAATGAAATTTCAAACACTGACTCTTCTTTCCCTCCTGGAGACTCCAATTCTTTCTTCTTTATCTCGGACGTGACAGCTCCCTTCATGTTCCTCCAGGGTTGAAGACAAGCCATCACCAACAGGAAGACATTATCAGCCCAAGGAAGAGCTGTTGATCCTGACCTGTCAAAACAGCTGACCTGCTCTGTGTAGCATTTTCATGGATGCTACACAAAATATATGTGACCGATGGGTATTTGGATCCAGTGAGGGGTGGGTAGCAGAGGGCCCTGGCTCTTGGGTCTGCATCATGAAAACTTAAATCCCTGCATGAGTAACTGCATGAAAGTTTACGATTCAGTCAGAAGCTTTCTTTTGTCAAGGAAGGGAGAGAAAGGAGGTCATAACATCGTCTCTCCTGAGGAGTCTTCATGGACTCCTGAATGAGGCAAGCTCACTCTCATTGCCCCTACCTCAATTCTCATAACTGCTGTCCTCTTGAACTTTCCAGTTATTCCAGTTTCTTGTACTATACACCTTCATTTATGCTCTGAGCTCCTGACTATGCCTCATCCCCTGCAATTTCAACAGAACAACCACCTACCACGTCCGGTCAGAACTTACTAGTTCTAGAACAAAGGAAAATTTTAACTTCACTGTTTCCCTGCCCATCTTTTTGGCCTCCAGTATCCCACAGGGACTCTCACCAGAGAAACTCCTATCCACCCCATGCATTCTAAATAGTCTTCATCACTGAGGAACTGCAGGAGGGCAGAAAGCATCTTTTTGCTTGGATGCATACCACCACCCCCATCCCAGCACTCAAAATGGGCCCTGAACTCTCAACATTTGGTCCTCCTCTAGCTCATCCTCCTGCCCATCATCCCGCTACATCAGTGATGCTCAAACTTTAGAGGGCATTAGAACGACCTGGAGAGCTTGTTAAGACACACTGTTAGGCTGGACCCCCAGAGTTTCTGATTCAGTAGGTCTGGAGTGGAGCCTGAGAATTTGCGTTTCTAGTAAGTTCCCAGATAATTCTGATGCTGCTAGTCCTGGGACCACACTTTAAGAACCACTGAGCTACATAATCTGAGGATGTCAACTCTGTTAGTCCAAACTATCACAGCAAGCTTGCATCCACTACAAGGGCCAGAGTGGAGAATCAGCCAGTAGGTGCCCTTATGTGCTTGGGTAGGCGAAGGCAACTTGTTCCCAAACTCCTCAGACTCCAGAGGACCCCCTTGCTGAACCCTCTGGGCCACTTTTGCCCAGTGGTGCTGCTGGCACCTTTGGCCTCATAGTGGGACAATCCTTCACAGGAGACACAGTTCCATTCATTCAACAAATATTTCCCGAGTGCCTTCTTGTGTCGGGGGCACTGTTGTAGGTGTGTGGGATACATCAGTGAGCAAAACACAAAAATCCCCACCAACGTGGAGCTTACTTTTTTCTAATAAAAGGAAGAATAAAACCCTTTTCACTGTTTTTAGGACTCAGGTACCTGGTTACTGGGAGTAATCAGGAGTGTTTAGTTTAAACTGTTTATATACACAAGAGATTAAGGACCAAGAGCTCAGGCAGAGACTAAATAAATACTTCATTGAGATGAGCCACCACAATAATCATCTTTCAATGAAGTTACAACAAATACAACATTTTTTGTTTTGGTTTTGGGTTTTTTTGCTTTATAGATGATAAAAAATATGGAGGTATGGGGAGAGGGGGGAGCAGGGAACAGAGTCCTGGACATCTGACCCACTGCTCTTTTTTCAGAAAGGGCCCAGAAACTTTTGGCAAAGGCTGGTATGGATGGGACATGCTTTTTCCCCACAAGTTCTCTCCCCTGGGGACAGGAGGCCCCTTGGTAATTCAAGAACCCTCTATATAAAGTACAAATACAGTGTTTCTGAAGGGCCAACACTTGAATCTTTGCCAGTGTTACAGATGTGAATCTTGGTCCACAACTCAAGTTAGCAAGGAATGGGACTATATTATCCAACATAATCTCTCTTTATATTCTCTTTACATTTCTTTTGGGGGTGGTATACCTAAGCCTCACCCCCAAGGCATCCACTGAGCCTTCCCTTGCCCCATCCGGTGTTCAGTGATGAGCCCACTGGGGCATTGAAGGCCTGGCCTCTTCAGCTCCAGCAGCCCCCTCTGCTACTTCTGGGCCAGGTTAGAGGGTGTGGGAGTCATCCTGTCTCCCCTGTGCCACACAAGGGCACCAAAATCTCTGCAAGGCTCAGTCCCAGTCTATCTAGACTTACCCCATAGTCATGGCTCACCCCATGGGGGTAGAAGTACGTATCCCAAGTATCTTAGTTATGAGTCCTTTCTGGACCTCTAAGGAACGCAGATGACTATCTCTGTTTCACCTTGCCCTATCGCTGCTTCAGTCAATGAAGGACAAGGCAACCCTGGTTGCACATTAGAACCACATAGGAAGCTTTTTTAAAGCTATCAATACCTGGATCCCTCCTTTACAAGGTTGAACTGTATTGGCCAAGGGGTATCGCCTGTTTTTTCTAAAGCTCCTCAGGTGATTTTAATGTATAGCTAGGGTTAAGCACTATGTGGGAAGGGAGAGGGGTTGTGGCAATAAGACTAAAGAGGGAAAAGGAACGATGGGAAATCCATTACTGTTTGGAATTATTCTGCGATGTTAGCTACTAGCTAAGCATGGTTAGTTACCAGCTGTACACAAAGCCCTGTTGCAAGGGATCACGCGAGAGAAGCTAGTGGGGAGGTGAAATAGGGTTAGAAATACTCTACTCCCTGCCGCTCAAAGCGTGATCCTCAGACTGGCATCCTTGCCACCGCCTGGGAGCTTGTTAGAAATGCAAGAATCTCAGGCCCCACCCCCAGACTTTTCAGCATCTGCAAAGTACTGCTCGATGCCGCTATTTTGTTAAAACAGACTCTTGGGAGGAGGAAGGTTTGGAACTAGGTTTTTAAGTTGTAGAGCTTTCTGGAAAGTTTCATTCTCAGAGAGAACAGCAAGAAAATACTCATGCAAGAAGTTAGTATGGCTGCTTGGTGGAGAGACAAAATGGACACAGCTTGGGTAAGTTTCTGGGAAGTAATCCAGCAACAATTAGAAACCGGCTCATATATGTCCTGGTTTTGTTTTTATTTTTTAAGATTTTATCTATTTATTTGGCAGAGAGAGACACAGCAAGAGAGGGAACACAAGCAGGGGGAGTGGGAGAGGGAGAAGCAGGCTTCCCACGGAACAGGGAGCCTGACATGGGGCTTGATCCCAGAACCCTGGCATCATAACCTGAGCTGAAGGCAGATGCTCAACCAACTGAGCCACCCAGGTGCCCCCCTTTTTTTAAGTTTATTTACGTAATCTCTACACCCATGTGGTGCTCGAACCCACAACCCCAAGATCAAGAGTCTCATGTTCTGACTGAGCCAGCCAGGAGCCCCAATACTGTTTTTTCCTTCACACTCTTTTTATTCTCGAATCCAGAAGATCCATCAGTCAAAATAATTGCTTCTTAAATTTATTTTTTTAAGATTTTATTTTTAAGTAATCTCTACACCCAACATGAGACTCGAATTTACAACCCTGAGATTAAGAGTCGCATGTTCTATTGACTGAGCCAGCCAGGTGCCCTATTTATCCAAAATAATTAAATCCCATGGGTGAAACAATACTGTTTTGAAATTTGGTTTTTAACATTTGCTGTTCAAGCCAGAGGGAGCAGCTCAAGCAAAAAAAAAAGACAAAAGTGAACTGCATGCAGAGTGGGGTGCTGACTGCTTTTGAACATTTCAGAGGAGCCAATTATTCATAAGACATCATGGTTTGTTAGAAATTAAATGATCACCTGTTTGACCTCATACAGGTGAACCAACCAGGATTATGGACACTGGGGCTACAATAAAATGTTCTAATTTGCAGCTGAGGACTATTGAATCACATACACTCACATAAAGATGTGTGAAGCAAGTTTTCCAGAGGGAAATAACTTAGCTGTGAGTTCTTTTTCTCTTAAAGATTTTATTTATTTGAGAGCATGCACAAGAGAGCATGAGTGGGGGGAGGGGCATAGGGAGAGGGAGAAGTCGGCTCCCCACTGTGCAGGGGCTGGATTCCCAGGACCTTGGCTAAGGCAGACGCTTAACCCAACTGAGCAACCCAGGCACACGGATACAAGGGGGTGGGGGGCAATCCAGATGGAGGGAAGCAGGACCCTAGAGATCTGAAGATGGGATGGGGTATCCTGAGAATGGTGGGTTCCAACAGGACCGGGGCTCATTGGCTGGGCACTCTTGAACACGGAGCGGAGTCTGCATTTTCTCTGAAAGGCAGTAAGTAGCTCGCTAAGGAAAGATGTAGTGCTGCAGATGTCGAAGGACTGGCCGGGCCGAACTGGAGTAGGAAACCCTGACCCCGGCAGATTGGGGTGTGGTAATCCTAGTGAGGTGAACAACTACAATAGGCTGGAGGGAGGCACAACTGAAAAGGGACAAATCTCCAGACTGATCTGGAGAAAAATGAGGAAGGAGACGAGTCTTTTTTTTTTTTTAAGCCTTTATTTACTTCTGATTTGAGCAACACTTGCACACTGTCAAACACTTGGAAAACAGAGAGGAGAGAATAAGAGGCAGTCTTTTATCAACCCACTGCTCAAGAATAACGATTGTGAGCATTCTGAATACTGTGTTTGAGGATGAGAGAATGGGCTCCATATTTTCACCAGGGCCAGGCGAATACACCCTCCAGTGGGCAGATGGAGACAGCTTTCTGGCAAGCGGGGGAGTTCCCTGTGGTGGACAGGGAGAGCGTCTAAAAATGGGAAGTTTCTCCCATTTATCCATCCTAAATTTCTAACCCGGTGCTATTAGTGATCTATTAACCTTTATCTTGAGCAGCTGCCCAGTGTGGGGGATGCCTTGCTTTCTAATTCTAGAAATTAGGTCTGGTTCCACTGAGCCTCACCCATTTTTACCCACAGATGACCTGGCTCTGGAATTCTCCTAAAATCTTTTATTTATTTGAGAGAGAGAGTGAGTGAGAAAGAGAGAGAGAGAGAACACAAGCCAGGGGGAGGGCAGAGGGAAAGGGAGAAGCAGACTCCCCACTCAGCAAGGAGCCTGATGTGGGGATCAATCCCAGGACCCTGAGACCATGACCTGAGCCGAAGGCAGATGCTTAACTGACTGAGCCACCCAGGTGCTCTGAATTCTCCTAAATCTTGAAACTCAAATATTCTCTGACTTCAACCTCTCCCCATTCCAGTTCCTGCCTTCTCATCTGGACGATGAATTCCCTGTTTTTCTGCTTCCTCTGGTGTCATGGTTAATCATCTGAACTGCTTTCTGGCTATCATCTTTGATTGCCTTTTCTCTTGGCCCTTAATGTGCCTGGCAGAACTGAAAACTCAAGACTTTCATTTTCGCTGTCATACAGCCTAGTGCTGTTGCAGGAATTGGAAGATCTAACTGGAACCACCATAGCTGTGCAGGCTCAGAGCTCAGTGAGGCTCTGTACTATCTTGTGGTGTCCGAGGTCCTAATTAAGCCACGTCCGTATTTCCATCCTCCCGATTTCTTCCTGTCTCAGATGAATGGATTCTCTCCTTGCCATCAAGCCGAACTTCTCCATCGGCCAGCTGCCTCAGCTCTTTGACCCAGTCTCTTTAGAGAGCTGCTCCATCAACCACCACCTCTCCTATATTTTCAACCTCTGGCTCCCTACTGATGAATAAAAGTGTGTCATTAGCTCCGTCCCCTCACCCTGCATTCCCTTCCAGCTATCATTCAATTGTTCTCTCACCTTCACAGCCAAACATTTGTTTAGGGACTACTTCAAACATGTTACATGATTCTCTGAAGCTGTCAAATCAATCTAATGTGTCACTGCTGGCATTAAAAAAAAAAGATTACACAGAGTGCAGATTGTTTCATGAATCTTTTAATTGTAAATAATGTGTATACTGGGTCACACTGCAAAATGTATCATGTGAGTTGCGGTCAAACACTTGAAAGACACTGTTCTAAATCAGTGGTCTTCAAAATTTTGTTTGCATGAATTTATCATTGTTAAGTTTAATTACCGGCAGAGGATTTCAGGTGGATTGCAAACATTAGCATTGTTAAATAAAACTAAAAAGAAATTTCCACTGTAGTAATTTGACACCTGCCATCATCCATTCAAAAGATATATGAACAAGTTTTAATAGTTGGAAATTTTACATCATCTAATTTTCTCTCTAAACTCAGAATTGGGGGCGCCTGGGTGGCTCAGTCTGTGAAGCGTCTGACTTCGGCTCAGGTCATGACCTCGGGGTCCTAGGATTGAGTCCCACATGGGGCTCCTCGCTCAGCAGGGAGCCTGCTTCTTCCTCTGCCTGCCCTGCCTGCCACTCCCCCTGCTTGTGCTCTCTGACAAATAAAATCTTAGGAAAAAACCAAAAAACAAAACTGGGATGCCTGGGTGGTTCAGTTGGTTAGGGAGCCTGCTTCTCCCTCTGCCTGCCCCCCCTCCAAGTAAGTAAAATCTTAAAAAAAAAAAAAACAACAAAACAAAACTCTGAATTGTTCTTCTTCCCTCATAAGATAAAATGTAACATATATATAGATACATAATATACAGGAAATACCTATGTGTAAATATCTATTTTTATACTAGAAAGTTTATAATACTTCTCTGAAGTAAAGTTGATGGGACACCTGGCTGGCTCAATTGGTAGAGCATGCAACTCTTGATCTTGGGGTTGTGAATTTGAGCCCCATGTTAGGTGTGGAGATTACTTAAAAATAAAATTTTTAAGGGGTGCCTGGGTGGCTCAGTTGGTTAAGCCTCCAGACTCTTGATTTCAGCTCAGGTCCTGATCTCAGGGTCATGAGATCCAGCCCCTCATTGGCTCTGTGCTCAGCGGAGAGTCTGCTTCTCTCTTTCTCCCTCTCCCTCCCCTTGCTCTCTCTCTCAAATAAAT